TATCGTATCGTATCGTATCGTGATGAACCATCCGATTTACACCCCTAATATATATATATATATATATATATATATATATAAAAATGACAAAAACAACAAAATTACTAAAACTGTAACTAAAATTAAAGTGAAAACAAAATATAAAAACGAAATATATTTTATATATTGTTAATTCATTTTAAAAATATCAACAAAAACTTTAATAAACAAATCTAATAAATAAAATCTAATAACTTTATAGACAATATAAAGATTAAATATATTGTATATGTTGTTGATTCATTTAAAATATTAACAGAAATTAATAACAATTGTAGACACAAAAAAGTAAAACTAATAAAAATGACAAAAACAAACAACAAAATTAAATAAAACGAACTAAAATTAAAATGAAAACAGAAAATATAAAAATAAAATATATTTTAAATATTGTTCATTCATTTTTAAAAATAACATAAACAAAACCTTTAATAGTATATCAGTGATGCTAAAATAACACTGGATCTATAACATGCATGATGTTTGAGGAAAAGTCTGTGTGATGAAGCTCTTTGTTCATTTGTTTTGTGATGCACGTCTCCATGATCTGGATCAATAATTCATTAATGTATGCATTGATGTGTAATGTCAGATCTCAGGCTTGCTGTAATGCATTATGGGTCGGATCGAGTCTGTTTCTCTCTCCTCATCCTTCTGTAACCCTTTATGATATGAAGCCGCACCTCAGAGGTCAAAGGTCACCCTGGAGCAACAGACTACAGGAGATTTCCTCTGTTCCTGTACGATGATAAATGACGTTATATCTGCTGCTGGATCACGTTTGGAATAATAAAAAAGACTTTAATGAGATTTCTATTATTTACACCAGGGCTGTTAAACTCGTTTCAGGTCGAGCTCCAGATCGGACACAGCGTCAAATTATGCTGGACGTTTTTTTAATTTGTTTAGTCTCCTCTGTAGATAATGAAGTCCAGAATAATCAATGTTGCTTTAATAATTAATATTAGTGTAAAACAAGCACACCTTTAGGTCACACATAGAACAGACCTGAACGCCTCTGATGAATTAAATGTGTGTTTAAGCCAATGTTAATAAAAGAAGAAACATTTCTTGTAACTTGTAACATTTCTTGTAACACTTGGTAACTTCAGTTATTTTAACGACAAAACTGTAAAAACTGTAGAAAGCGAATTCAGCTTTTGACGTCTGCTTTAGTGTTTTAAAGCCTAACATTAGTCAGAAAAGTTAGTTTGTGGTTTTGACTCAAAAAAGATCTGGTTCATAAGAGTCATTTGTTAATGAAGCCGACTACACTGGCGTCTGCGTGCGCGTGCAACCAGCATGCACCGTTTATTAAAAGACGTGTTTTTGCCATTATTTTGCGTTACTCTGTCATCGCCGCGGCTGAAAAGTAGCTCATGAAACACTGCTTACATTTATATTTTATTCTGTGATAATGCAGTTGCCCCTCCGCTAGATCCGCCCCTGCGTTGAGGAACAGTGAAAGTAAAGCTTCTGGAAACAAACGCTCCTCAAAAGATCCTGAGGATCAGATTTGAGACTCTAAAACATGATTGATGAAGAATCAAGTAAAGCTGAGCTGCTTCAGTCCAGTAAGTGTTCATCTGGAAATATTACTACAGTTGATTAAAAATCAGTCAAGATTGGACACGTGAAGCTCGAGCTGAAGCTGGACGCTTGTACAATTAGACTAAAAGAGTCCAAACTATCAATCAGAGACAGAAGACACAAGGGCTGGGTTTTGACACAAATTTCACGATTCGATTCAATATCAATTATTTTGGATATTTATATATATAAATAATTAATGATAAAATTAATGTAAAATATACATGAGAGTCATTACGTTACTATAATATTGAAGGTTAAAATTGACTGATTTGTTAAAATTACACTTAATGAAGTATTTAAAATAATAAAGTTACAATTACATAATAATATTTCTACTTCAATTCGTTTTTTTTAAATATAAACATAATGATGGCTGTCATTAAAAACTTGATGGATTTATTCAAACATAAATTAAACATTGAAGAACAGTAAAATTTATAATGAATATGTTATATGGTGCATATATCGTTCCGTAAAAATGAGAATCGATTAATATCGAGATATCGATATTTTTTTTACCCAGCCCTAGAAGACATGCAGTAGATTGAGTGTGAAACAGCAAATGTTGATCATTTCGAGGCCTTAGAAATATGTATCAAATATGATCCAGTATATCTTTAAGGGTTTTCTGTTTTCTGCAGTGAGTACATGTGATGGATCGTAATGAATGTGCAGTTATAGTCACTCCGTGACATTTTTCAGCCCGTCAGCTTTAGCATGTTTAGCGCCTCCAGTTCTCTTCCCGGTCACTGGGGTCAGGAGCAGAGCAGGAATCATGGGTAATTCGGCCGCGGGCGCTGCATTTCTGTGTTCATTAAGGTCAAGAGCACAGCATGCAGGGGCTCGCTGTAGAGTCAGAGCACAAGTCAATGAAGCGCCTTCAGTTATGATTTGGGATTGTTTTCATTTATGAAACGTGTTTCGTGTAACCGCAGGTGCTGATCACTGACATCGACATTGCACTGCAAAAACATGATGCTCCTCCTCAGTATTTTTGTCTTGTTTTTCCAGTACAAATATCCAAACATTCTTAAATCAAGATACATGCGCTTGGGAAGCAAAATGACTTAAGATATAAATTCTTCTTTTTTGAAAAATATATCTAAATTAAGCGTGTTTATGCTTAAAACAAGAAAATAAACCCGTGTGTTAAAGGTTTCATCTCATACATCACATTTTATGGAGATAAATCAGCAATGGCTATAATAACAAATGCACTTTCTGTCATTTTGTTTATTTTAGCACAATTTTCGTTTTTTAGCACAAATTTAGTTTTTCGTTTCAGCGAAGTATTATTAGTTTCTGTTTTTAATTTCATGAAGAAATGTGTATTTTGTTTTTATATATTTCAGTTAAAATAATTATTTAATGTATTTTGAATTAAAAATTAACTGTTAAATTTATTTTGCACTATTTTTAGAATAGCTGTCCATTTTTTGTTTACTTTGCATAAGTTTCTAAAAAAATGTAGTATCATTACTTTTCAAAAGTTTTATTAAAAACTGAAATTGATTTTATGTAACTTTAATAACTTTAACTTTAATAAACTTACTTGGAGTTAAGTGAGTTTTTTATTTTATTGAGTTTTAAAAAAATAATAATTTTAAAATTAATTTTGCATTTATTATATTTTTGGATTAGATTCATTTTTATTTATGTTGCATTATTTCAGTTTATCAAAAATGTTTTTGTGTGATTAATTTTCCTCTTAGTTTTATTTTTTGTTGTTTTGCTCCTTAAAGACTCCAGTAGTAGATATTTTTACTTCTTGAGCAAAAACTCACTTAAAGGGATAGTTCACCCAAAAATAAAAAAATCGGTCATTAATTACTCCACCCTCATGTCGTTCCAAACCCGTAAGACCTTTATTCATCTTCTGAACACAAATATATATTTTTGATGAAATCCCAGAGCTTAAGATTAAATATCTTAAGTCATTTTACTTCTCAAGTAAATATATCTTGATTTAAGAATGTTTCGATATTTGTATTGGAAAAAAAGACAAAACTACTGAGGAGCATCAATGTTCTTACGGTGTGAGTGACATTTTAAGGGGGTTTTACATCATGCAAAATCCCTTTTCCCTTTTGAAATGAGTGTTTATTGCACTTTATTGCATTTGAAAAGTTGCTCTCCAGTTCATAAAGAGCAGGTGAGATGCTTAATTTCGTTCAGTAGAGGTCAAACACAGTCCTATAGAGATGATAATGGGATGCTTTAGGAGTGTTCAGTGACTAATGTGCATCATTTGCTGACTGTGTGTGTGTGTGTGTGACCTGCAGCTTCAGCACCTGAGCAGTCTGGACCTGCGGCACATCTCTGAGCTCAACAACGAGACTGTGATGGAGGTGGTGAGAAAGTGCAGGAACCTGACGTCCCTCAACCTCTGCCTCAACTGGACCATCAACGACAGGTACACACATTCTCTCACACTCTCTCACAGACACATTCTCTCACACTCTCTCTCTCTCTCTCTCACACACACACACACACACACACACACACACACACACACACTCA